TACCTTCCTCACTCCCTACCTACCACACCAGCCCCATCACCACCTTAATTAGCTTCTCGGGTTGGCTAATACCCAATAAACCTTCTTATTACCATATGTCTCTCAGAGCGACACATATGTTCTTGTGTTTATAGGTGACATTTACTTAATCATTGCCTTGTGTCCAGCTGCCAAGTATTGCGGTGAACACATAGTGGACATTGTATTGCTCATTGTGTGTTTTACCTTTTGCTGCCGCGTGTCACTGAAGGCGGCCAACTTTCTCCAGACGTCTTTAGCTAAACTCAGGAGCCCACACCACCCCTCAGTTCCCTGTAGGAGCCCACACCACCCCTCACTTCCCTGTAGGAGCCCACACCACCCCTCACTTCCCTGTAGGAGCCCACACCACCCCTCACTTCCCTACAGGAGCCCACACCACCCCTCAGTTCCCCGTAGGCGCCCACACCACCCCTCAGTTCCCTGCAGGAGGTCACACCACCCCTCACATCCCTGCTGGAAGTCACACCACCCCTCACTTCCCTGCTGGAGGTCACACCACCCCTCAATTCCCTGCAGGAGCGCACACAACTCTCGGCACCTTCATTACTCCCCGTGAGGACATCTTGCTCCTCCAAATGGTTTTTCTGTGAATCCCTGAAAATGTTGTGTCCCCACCGAGCTCTTCTGCCCACACTCACTCTCCCCCACACAAATTTCACACTGTGTAGTTAGCAACACATTACTTCTCATACAAACAAACTTTTTCTATCACTATTTGCAGTAAAGTATGGATATAGAACTATCGATTTGCAGGAGACCTGAAAATTCGTATACTGATAATCAGCAAAATGAAAATATATGGCGACTCGCTAGTTCTGTTAAAGTATTTCCCTTGCAAGCAAATATTCCCGGACTCCATTTCTTGTTCAAGTTTAGGATTAGGTTCTTCTTGTACATTGGCCGTTGTCTACCCAGTAATGGAATGGATACACTATCTGGTGCACTTGCTATTACCTGACCTACACACTACTTCGGTAGAATGATATTCTTCTTTCCCCGTCCACGTTTCGAACCTGTGTAATGGAGACCACCCTTCCTAGGCGCTGTCTTAACACCAGTAGTCGAGAAAACATACACTTAGTAACGAACCCACCTTAAGGCTTATACGGGCTCGAATCCCTCAACCCCACCCCACTAAAGCCACCCTCTCCCAATGCCTCTTCTCCTTATAAACCCTCTCCTCCTCAATACCTCTCCCCAGCAAACTCTCCTCACGCAACCTTTTCTCTCATCCCACATTCTTCTTCCACTCCTCTCTCAACTCTCTCCCTCCATTCCCCTACTTTCCTCATCTTGCCCTCTCTTAACACTTCTCCCTCAACCCTCCTTCCATCCCCACCCCATCAACCCCCCCCCCCCTGCACGATTTCTCTGATCCCACCCAGAAAATCCAATTTTTTTAACCTCAGGCAGCCGGGCGACGTGGTTATTGAATTCCTTTCTCTGCGTGTGTTTCGGTACGTTTGTCTGTCTGTCTTTGTCTTTTTTCTGTCAGTTTGTCTGTCTGCATATCGAAAAAAATGCATTAAAACCATAAATTGACTTGAATAAAACTTAGAAACAGGATTGAAAAGTGACCTAAAGAAAAAAACATCTTTATCTTGGAAAATAAAGGTTAAAACTCAAGGTCAAGGTCATTGGATGAGTAAGAATTTATGTGGTAATGAACAGCTTGTTTATCACGGCGGGGTACTGCACCTCAGACCTGGCAGGTCACCGAGACAACTGGTAAGGCTTTGGCAGGAGGCACTGTATGAGTTCAGGGCCATTGGATAACACATACAGCCTCTACATACACTCTCTACAAGCTGAAGTAACTAAACCCATACACGGGCATTATTGCAATAACCGTACGTTAATTAATATGTAAAGTTAGTAAGAGCATCTCGTGATTTATATAACAAGTTAAATATTAGGCTGTGAGACACTGGTTCATCCCTCACAGACGCAGGACAAAGGAGGCCAGCTCATTGTAAAGGCTTCGTCACGCCTGGACTAGAGCGCCCTGATGTTTAATTCCCATTTTCTTTCAGGTGTTTTATTTGTAATGGCTTGGCACTGCCTCCACCTCCCTCCACTCACCTCACCCCCCCCCCCACCATCACCCCTACCTTCACCCATACCCTCATCCCACTCTCCTCCCCATGCCCATCCCCTCTCCTCCCTAACTTCACCCTAACATTTCCCTCTTCCTCCAGCTCACCCCTACAATCATCAACCCCCAGAGACAGACAGACAGACGGACATAGCTTTTGTCATTACAACTATAGTCAAAGAGAAAGGTGGAGGTACTTGAGAGTGAGCGACGCTACCTGGGGGACTCCTATGAATTTGGGAGATTAATGAACAATTTGCGCCCCGGTTATCACCCCAGCCCACCCCACCCTCTCGCTTACTCATATCTTCACCCCTACCCTCACCCCCACACACCTATGCCATATGCTATCTACTTGCCCATACATATAAGACACCACCATACACCTACTGCACTTACAGAAAAAAATGACTAGATAAGACAAAGTCAAATAACACATTATTTTTATTTTTTTTGTAACGTCCAGTAAAGAAAGACTTACTGACCTGATAACCGGGGCGCAAATTGTTCATTAATCTCCCAAATTCATAGGAGTCCTCCAGGTAGCGTCGCTCACTCTCAAGTACCTCCAGTCTTCTCTTTAATTATGGTTGTAATGACAAAAGCTATTATGTCTATCTGTCTGTGAGGATCGATGATTGTGTCTAGGAATGTGTGTGTGTGTGTGTGTGTGTGTGTGTGTGTGTGTGTGTGTGTGTGTGTGTGTGTGTGTGTGTGTGTGTGTGTGTGTGTGTGTGTGTGTGTGTGTGTGTGTGTGTGTGTGTGTGTGTGTGTGTGTGTGTGTGTGTGTGTGTGTGTGTGTGTGTGTGTGTGTGTGTGTGTGTGTGTGTGTGTGTGTGTGTGTGTGTGTGTGTGTGTGTGTGTGTGTGTGTGTGTGTGTGTGTGTGTGTGTGTGTGTGTGTGTGTGTGTGTGTGTGTGTGTGTGTGTGTGTGTGTGTGTGTGTGTGTGTGTGTGTGTGTGTGTGTGTGTGTGTGTGTGTGTGTGTGTGTGTGTGTGTGTGTGTGTGTGTGTGTGTGTGTGTGTGTGTGTGTGTGTGTGTGTGTGTGTGTGTGTGTGTGTGTGTGTGTGTGTGTGTGTGTGTGTGTGTGTGTGTGTGTGTGTGTGTGTGTGTGTGTGTGTGTGTGTGTGTGTGTGTGTGTGTGTGTGTGTGTGTGTATTTATCATTATTATTGAAATCCAAAACTAAAGTATTTTTACATATCTCATAATCTCCCTTAATCCATTTGGTCTGAGTAAAAACACAGAGACCACCGAATTATAATGCTTAAACTTTGAATTATTTAAAAAAAAAATTAAAAAAAAAAAACTTTCGTCATAAAACAAAACTGCAGGTGCAACAGCTGGTGGTGGTGGTGCAGAGGGAATTACCTACGTGATGACCTCAGCTGCTCACACCCACGCCTACACCTGCACTGCTGTAGTGGGTATAACAAAAAAATATTACGTGTCAGATTATTTACATCAACTAGAACGAACTAAGGGGAAATAATTTATGTCATTTTGTATTCAAGGGTTCATAGAAGTCCTTTAAATAACACAGCCGGTGACGTCTGCTCGCTATGCTAACTATAGGAGATGGCATTAACGATGTCCGTCAGTCTAGAAGTATATATAAGTGATATGTATCCTCTTGGTATACATAATGCCTCTGTATATTGTATTATGTATCCATTGTGTGTGATTTCTTATACCTTGGTCGTGTAATGTCTCCTGTGGACGTGATCTCTCATTTCTTGGTTGATTAACGTCTCTGGTGTACATGATTCTCCATGTCTTGGGCGTGTAAGTTCTGATGTACGTGATCTTGGTTGTTAAACGTCTCTGGTGTACACATGATCAATACACCTATGCTGCAACGTAACCACCACCATGAACCACGCTACACATTGTTCGCAAGATTAATATATACTGTAACAACCATACTTACTATGGATAAAACAGGAAATGTCGCTAGCAAGTGATATATGACATTTTGCAATACCCATCGCCTGTGGTGTCAGATTGTTTCGCGCGAAATGTGCACAGATACTTTTTTGAGCGTGTGTGTACGTGGTCTATTACGTCTCAGGTATATAACTTCACCTGAACGCCGCAACTTTTCATATTCTACATGTTTGCGTGATGCCTTGGTTATTGGTGTGACATCGTTAGCACAGGTAGTGTTAACTGCCACTAGTTTCCGACCTGACCAACGCTAAAATGGAAAAATATAAATGAACTGTCCACAATACACGCATCCTCATTTTGGATCCGATGACACCGACGTAAAGGAAAAGAAAAGTGGACGGGTGGATGGATTGTCGGACGTACTCGCTACGTCACTTCGATGCTCTCGGCAGGTCATGGAGATAATTAATTTTTTCCAAAGCAGAAGAAGAAACTAATGCGACATGCTGCATAGCTGTTGAATACTGTACTACGTTAGGTAACTAAGAAACATGCGAGTACCATGCCAAGAAAGGATTAAGTATGTCACACTGATCGATTGCTGGTATATTGTCTTTTACTAAAATTTAGAGAGGTGGAAAAATCTTACTGTTCTATCTATAAGGTCGTCGGCATGTAACTAGACAACATGCTGGGCAGATTTAACGCCTCAGCCAGTAAAATTATCATCTACTGAAGAATATAAATAGAACATGCAAATGGAAGATCTTGAAACCCGATTATTGTTATGGTCTTCCAGTTAATGATTAAACAACATGCTTAGCAATAATGTTGCTCACCGTCCAATAAGACTATGCAACATGCTGGAGGACGGATCTTAAGCCCTAGTTGGTAAGATCGTCAAAAAAATATGTTGGACTAGAGGACATGCTTTAGACACTTGGCGCCTCACTCACTACAACGGTAGAGTCTTACCCTTGAGAAATAAGCTGGTGTCTAGGGTAATGTCTCCATCCCTACGATATCTGTGTTCCTTCCCATTATCTGCAAGGAGAAGTGGCCTGTTGTAGGATTACTCCAAGGTATGTGGCACACACCTAATGCTTTATAGTTTTGTTGCCAATGTTATCGTTTCTATTTTTTTCAATACCTTTTTTGACTATGATGACCCCAAATGTATTATCCTTCCTATAACTGCATTGTTATTGTTAGTATCCTGAAAATATACAAGCGTATTTGCTTATTAATATATTTCTAAGACAAAGTTGTTTATGTGTAGTGAGACGCGTCGTTGGGTGTTGGCTCTGTCCTGTTAGTCAGTCGGTAAATGTTAAATTTTTGTATCATTCACCTCGATGTAATTTACAGTACGCCTAATTCAATAACTATAATGAAATTAAATTATTGATGGTGGGAGGAACTAAGCAATCGTCGGCGGTGATGAACGGACGAGTTACTAAAGCCACTATAATGGGAGAGCCTTTGTAGCTAAATTAATATCATGAGCTCACTGGAGTAACAATGGGGTATATTAACAGGTAGTGATGGATTGATCAGTGTGGGGTGGGGGAGACTAAGGTTGTGAGAAGACTTAACAAGCTAAAGGCATGTTGGGCTGAGGCATAGATCAATTCTCTAACATGCTTAAGTGGGCATTTTAGTGGACTTATGTACACTGAACTCAGGCATACGAGCATACTGAACTGTCTTAGGTGTTGTATAACCTTATCATACCAGTGAGTATATTTACATCAGCACATGCACGTTGATGGTCTACTTACAACAGTATGTTTCATGTGTCTGCGTGATATAACTATTTACAGGATAGTATTTACATTAGTCCTCATTTTAAAGTCATTATGATCTATTTAAATCCAATTAAATTATTCATATTTGCAGGATACATTATTCCTTTTAAAAGCCTATGAAAATTTTAACTGTTTACAGAGCAATAGTAACTTAACTTTTCATCCTAAAATCTGGCGGACTGATCTGTGATAGTAAACCTTATTTTAGTTTTCGTAAATGTAAACTTGATTTTAGATTGGGTGTGTGTTTAAGAGAGACCTACTGAGAAGCAGTTACAAAGAGCCAGACTAGACTAAGGCGTTGTTGTGAAGGGAACTGCGAGGGGAAGATCAGAGGCAAGCCACGTACAGTATAGCAGCAGTCGATGGGAAGGGAAATGAGCGGTAGATTAGCTGAAGAGGAGCATTTGTGTAATAGACTGAGTCCAGGTTGGAGAGCATAATAGGCTGAGTACAGATGGAGAGCTTAATAGACTGAACAGAGGCATATTATGTACAGATAGGTGTGAGGTTAATTATCTAACAATGGAATTACAAGATATAATAGAGACGTTATATACAAAGACAGGTAAGGCTGAGACGATAGAGGTGAGCGTACTAGACTAAAGAGAGACTTAGGTGTATTCGAGGGCGAGTAAGGTTGAGGAAGTAGTCATGATTATACTAGTGTGAGTAGAGGCATAACTACAAAGACAAGTAAAGTTGACGAATAAAGAGGCTTTTCTTTAGTGAAGCTTGAGAGTTGTAATGTGTATGTAGACAGGGATGGCAAGCGAATTGGCATCATGTTAGACTAAAGAAGGATGTAAGTTGTAGAGGCAGAGAAGCATGAGCAACGGAGCTGATGGTCATTAGAGCGACGGACTGAGGTTCCTGCCACTACCCTCAAGCTATACGACTCGTGTATATTCTGTAACACTTTTAATCTTAATGGATATACAATGAAGTTCAGTAAAGTGCTTCCGTGTTTGGTCTCCGTCCACCCAGAGTAACACACACACACACACACACACACACACTCTATTATTGATCAGTAGCTGCAAACTGATTTCTATTGTAGACAATGTTATGATCATATTTTTCTCTTACCTGTGGATAAACTCGGGTTGTTAGGCCATATCACTGATGATGGATAACAAACATACAAGGATCATACAACAGTGCGCCACAAATATTGTATCCTCTAGGATAGGTTTAGTTTATAACAACATTAGTTAGAAGTCAAGGTTTCCACATAAAAGTAGGACTTGAGAAAAGAGACACTGAATAATGGTAAATAGCTTAAATAACAAACATTATAGAAGAACAGATTACATATATGACACAACATATAATAAGACATTTTCTGTAACAATAGTTTATACATGTAGAATAATAGTAAGGTTTTGTGGCGTTGTCGGCGGCTACTGTCGGTGATGTCATATAAAATAATCATGTATGTGTACTATACACTCAGGTGTGACTGTGTATTCCAAAACATGTACATATGTGCACTCATACATGATAATAGACGAGGACTGTTTACACCATTTAAAGTAAATACAAATAATATACCTGTGTGTGTGTGTTCGTGTGAAAGAATACATGTATGTATGCTCATATGTATCAGAAATGCATATATTTTTCCTTAACTATTCCTAGTGCACAGGTACCACACCAACACCCTCACCAATGAGAAAGTTTCAGTGAGTGTGCCAACCTCCTCAGTGAAAAAAAAATGATCTGAAGAAGATGGAAAATAGAGTAGGTGATTTTGACTCTCGTGACGTCTTTCTTTTTCTTGTCAGGGTAAACAATAAGGTGTCAATAATCTCAACTATCGTCTCTCTGGTGGCTGATGTGCTGGGGACACGTAATGCAAGACATCGTTAAAAGAGGCTTTTACATAGCCCAGTAATCCCGGGTCCTAAAGCTTAATAACACCATTAAAGCCTCAAGTTCGTCGCCGTTTTCCCCAGGCAGGCAGGTAGGGAGGGACTACAGTACATTCGTGTGTTCCTCTACGAGTGTTATCCATGGAGTAGGTCTCGCCTTATTTTGGAGAGAACTAATACAGAATGAGAAATACAAAATTACTTACCATATTTCAGCTCCTCTGTGTCACGTCCTTGTAGTTCTTACTGTTACACCTTTTGCTTTAAAGTAATGTATATTGACAAGGAAGATTTTTGACAGCATAACCGTGTGTACTTTGGCTATGTCAGTAGGAGTGAGCGTAACGATTCAACTTAGTATGCACAGCGAATTACAGTGTGGGCCTTACTGATCCGCTTGGTAAGTTTTGTGTGTGTGTGAGTGTGCACGCGCGTGCGGGCTTGGACTGTTCCTACTTTATACTCAAATTCTTTTACGTTACTTTACACACTTTTGTTTATAGTGGTCCTGACGATTTCTTCCTTAATTTTGAGATCGCTGTCTCCTCTTGGTCACCTGCAAATGTGGGATCGGATAAAAGATTATAGACCTGAAAGAAAATTTTTTGTCCCACACTATGATCGGCTTTCCCCGGGTGCCAGTCGCTCCTCTATCGCTCTCTACTCTCCTTTCAGGGGCCCAAATCGCTCCCTGTGGCACCCATCACGCGTATCTGACACATCCTTACAGAAACTGGGTTACAGTTAAGACGAATCGGGGATAACGCGTATAATAATAATAATAATAATAATAATAATAATAATAATAATAATAATAATAATAATAATAATAATAATAATAAGAAGAAGAAGAATAAGAATAAGAAGAAGAAGAGTGATATAAATAGTAGTAATATTAATAATGATGTTAAAATCAACAATGAAAATAAACTTAATGATGACAGCAGTAATAAAAGAATGAAAATGATGATCACCGAGTAATTAACTGCCCCCCGAGAACACACAGAACTTACGGCAGGTAAAGTTTACATACCTGTTGTAGTTCTCGTCCTTCCCGGTAATAACCTGAACGTAATAGTCATAAAAGCAACACACAACACCCACTTACACACTAAAATGCCCTATAAACAAATTCAAGTACTGGGTTAAACCACGATAATACGAACAAGTACATTAAAGTGCTATATAGCTCATGATCACACCACACACCACTTGATAATACCAGGTAGAGCATTATACCAACAGGTGAAACTGTACCAGATAACAACTGGCATTAAAAGACAACATTGTTTGTTACATGAAGATAACTCGAGTACAGTCTCACTGGTATTAAGTGTAGGTGGTGTTGTGTGGTGATGGTGTGGTGTAGTGCTACGATGAAGGTGTGGTGATGGGGTGGTATTGGTTTAGTGTTGTGGTGAAAGTGTAGTGTTGGGGTGTGGTGATAGGTAGTGTTGTGGTGAAGGTGTGGTGTAGTGTTGTGGTGTGGTTATGGGTGGTGTTATGGTGAAGGTGTAGTGTTGTGGTATGGTGATGGGTAGTGTTGTGGTGTTGTGGTGTGGTGATGGGTGGTGTTATGGTGAAGGTGTGGTGTAGTGTTGTGGTAAGGGTGTGTTGTGGTGATGGGGTAGTGTTGTGGTGAAGGTGTGCTGTGGTGATGGGGTAGTGTTGTGGTGAAGGTGTGTTGTGGTAATGGGGTACTGTTGTGGTGAAGGTGTGTTGTGATGATGGGGTAGTGTTGTGGTGATGGGGTAGTGTTGTGGTGAAGGTGTGATGTAGTGCTGTGTGGTGATGGGTAGTGATGTGGTGAAGCTGTGTTATGGTGATGGGGTACTGTTGTGGTGAAGGTTTGGTGTTGTGGTGTGTGGTGATGGGTAGTGTTGTCGTGAAGCTGTGTTATGGTGATGGAGTACTGTTGTGGTGAAGGTGTGGTGTTGTATTGAAGGTGTGGTGTAGTGCTGTGTGGTGATGGGTAGTGTTGTGGTGAAGGTGTGGTGTAGTGTTGCGTGGTGATGGGTAGTGTTGTAGTGATGGTGTGGTGTAGTATTGATGGTCGTGACTCGCTACGAGCACTTGTCGCCAGTGCCAAAGGAGCCAGCCTCCCAATTTACCATGTCAGAGGATTTCCTCCCAAATCCCTGGATATTTAACGGTCTTGCGAATTTGAGAGAAACTCTTTCTTATCAGAATTTTTATGAAAATATGTGAGAGGATTTTAGCTTTGCGGAGGATTTTAAGAGGATTTTAAAGGATTTATCATAAAGATTTATATTTCGCTGCTGAGAGCTGTTTTTAGAGGAGCAGGAACGATTTTTTCTTTTATTTTAATAAGTTAAACAAGTATATGTGGAAGCCTTAGCCAGACCATAGTGTTGTAGTCAGTCTCACACCGCTCAGCTGATGCACCTCCCCGGACGACTAATTAACTTCCTATAGCATCCAGGTTATAGATGGATGTGTCTTTATTTTTCATTCAGAAACAAGTCTGTTCTCCCCAAAACATATTATGCGTAACTTCTTGGAAAAGTATCACATTGTCTTGGATCATAGTAGTGTCACGTTATTGTCATGGGCCACTTTATTTATTATTATTAACTGGAGGTGCCTGAGTTGGTACAGTCTAAATGTAGAAGACGCAAGACTGGTATGAACCACAACTCTTAAGATCAGTGAACTTTTTAAGGGCTTTACACGCCACACACGACCCGACCAGGTGAGGTAGCACCGTCCAACAAGTCACCCGCAGTATGGATTTTGGTATCAGTCCAACTGTCACGTAATCCCACACGACACACCATCTTCAGAACCTCAAGAGCCAAGACCAGAGGACCCCAGAATATTATCTGTATCATCTAAATATAACGCAATTGGTAATGATACTGCTGGCTCCAGGAGCAAATTCTGTATTGACAACCTTCCTTCAGTGTTCCTTCCTTTCTCCATTCCTTCAGTATTCCTTCCTACCTTCCTTCGTGAGTCGCTTATCACTTCACACGATAATATATAGATATTTTGGATAACGAGTGTCGTGTCACAGACATTTACTGTTAAAGACGCGTGACCTAGAAGTTGTAGCAATGAATGTAGCTTTTAGAGTATAAATTTTGTACCAAGTCTTATCAATACTTTAATTTCTTTCGTACTACTGGAGTTGCCTGGTATTGATTAACTACGCAAGTAACCTCTATGTGTTATTGACCTGCTTGGGAAGGAAATCTATGTTTAGATGTTATTCTGTGTCTCTATGTTTTACAAATGTTTTATTCTGCTGTGAAATAATTTAAATTTCTTGTTTGATGACAGAAGTATATGTTTATGGTTAGGCTACGTAAATACAATCCACTTACATGGCAGTCATAATAGTAGTACAGTAATAATACTAATGCATGTCTTGAAACACTTCAGTAATATGTAATTTAGTCTCAAGGAAATTATTAATTGCAGGATATGGTTTACCCTTTTGTGTATAATATTACTAAAATAGTTTAAACATCGTGGACTTGTAACCAAACAGTACAGCACAAACATGACACGTGGCAGTAAAGGACCAAAATCATAACGTTACACCAGGAGAGTGAGGTAAGACTCGCCTCACGTGGCCACACAATAGCCTGGGACACGCCACGGTCCTTCTACCTCGCTTGACACTGCCGCTGAGTCTCCCTAAGTCGATTTGCTCCCCGATAATGAACTTGTTTACGTTTTCTTAGCCGTGTATTAAAGGTAATATATCATCGGTTCATGTAGCTGCACGAGGTATAGATGGTATGTGGTGTTGTGCTGCCGGTGACCTAATTTTGTGGCGGGGTTGTTATTAGGGGGGTGGTGGTTAGTTGTTGATAGTGGTCGTGGTGAGAATGGTGGTGGTGGAGAGGAAAATGGTTGATGGTGGTAGTGGTGAGCGCAATTGATAGGAATAGAGGTGGTAAGTGTGTTACATAATTCTGGTTGACATTGATGATAGTGGTGAGAGTTATGGGAAGGGGGTAACCCATATTTCACGACGTTGTCCCCTACAGTGACGGTGAGAGAAAAAAACAATGACTGATAAAGAGGGGAAGACGTCGAGTAAAAGGAAACAAAACAGCTGATGTGAGATTCTGATAAATGGAGGTTGGAGGCTGAATGGAAGACAGATGGAGGACACGTTCTAGAGTTGGACTATGTGGGGATTAGAGGACGAAGCGTGTTTCTGTGTCTTACAAGTGCGTGGAGGACACAGTACCCATTATCGTGTAGGTGAGAAGTGTGTTCTTCTAGGGTTTGTCAGCTTTCGTTTGTTGTTCATGTAGTTCATCTCTGAAAATGACGTAGAATGTGAACTGGTGATACAAGGACTCAGCGGTACTGAACATATCTATAGCTGTTGAAGAGATGAACTTGGTGTTGTGCCCAGCTACTTTGTGTGTGAGATGATAAGAAAGCAGGTTATTTGTTCCACGTCCAAGGCAGACAACACATGCAGGCACGTGTTTACAAGCCACTACAGTACTGTACTCTGTGATTGTTTACCCGTGTTTATAATATTGGCCTCTATAAGTTATGTATCCTATTTCTTCACGTATTCGAAAGGAAAATTGTCTCACCTGACACCTCAATATGAACAAGTCTCTCACCTAACGCCTCACATACCGGACAAGTCTCTCACCTAACACCTCACATACCGGACAAGTCTCTCACCTAACGCCTCACATACCGGACAAGTCTCTCACCTGACGCCTCACTGAAAGACGATTGACAGAGAAAAATTTACAACCAGGCTTTACTCGGGAGAACAATTCGTCTTGGGAGGAACTATACCATCTGGGAAGAAAGATAAAAAAAGTGAGAGTGGTCAGTCCTGCACGACCGAGAATATCTGTGCATGATGTTTACTTCGTGGTGTTGTGGCTGGTGTGTTGTTTTTGGCTAAATTTGTAATATATTTTAAGATACTGCTATGTACCAGAGGATAATGATAATGTCAACTGTTATTTGATTTGATTACAGGTGACATGTCAATTATAAGATCAGTTACATTTGATTTAAATTATTATATTTAATACCATTTTAAGTAATTGGAAGTATTTAATGTCTTACACCTTCATATATACTGTATATCTATGTAACTGAAGTGTGTCACGTTCCTCTCACCTTCAAGTGGTATGCGCATAATGGATAGCAGTAACTGTGCCATTGTTTATGTTGGGAAAAATTTGTGTTGTGATAATAATAAAGACAATAGACGGATAAAGAGAGAGATAATACTATTAACAGAAAATATTTTATTCTGAAAAAAAAAAGAAGTTTAGAAGTTATTATCATGTATGATGGGTGTCACACTTCATACTGTGTAGCGGTACATCAGCTGTCTCAGTGGCCAGATCAGCTGCATTCACGGCGTACTTCTGGTCCCAGAGTACCAACACTCCATCAGGAATAATCATTTACCAGGACTCACATCAAACACTTACACCAGATCACGTAATGACAAAACTCATCTGAACTTGGAGTAGAGTTTCTGGAACATTTACATGTTCTTAATACCCCTGTGACGTGACATAAGGTGAGCCCAGGTAGTTCTTGTATTTAATTATAAGTTTAACCTCCAGGGACTGCAATTAATTTATTAGTTAGTTACTCGAAGTTGAATTATGGCCTCCTTAATTGATTTCCTATTCAACTCTCTCTCTCTCTCTCTCTCTCTCTCTCTCTCTCTCTCTCTCTCGATGGAAATGCCTGCCTCTCTCTCTCTCTCCTGGAAAATGAAGTGCAGAAGCTGCGCTATACCTCACCTCTGTAGTCGTCATTCTTCTTGTCCTTGGTGAAGTCAACCTTTTATTACTCACATTGAGGCAGAGGACAACGTTATGATGTTGGATCCTTAACCTTTCCTATGTTTTAGTCTTTGAAGTACCAGTCCTAATTTCCTACGTTCCTAAACCCGTTCCTACATCCCAATCCCTTTAAGGTAGCTACCATGCTCATATTTATGTCTCGCCATGGCCGCCTCCCTAAACTCCAGCCACTCTCAGGCGCTACTTCTACATTCCAGTCTCCTTAAAGATTGGGGTCCAGGGTCCAGGGGCCAGGGTCCAGGATCATTCAAGCTCAGTGGCCAGACTCCAGCCTGCTCCCCACCCCCCCTTCACTCTCTCCTGGTCGAGCATCTTAAAGTAGCAGAGAATGGCGGCGGACAACAGTGTGGAGGGTCAACCACTACACACGACCTCTGCTACCACAGCTGTGTGAGGCCCAGTCTCATGTACCACCTCTCCCACCACAGCTGTGTGAGGCCCAGGCTCCTGTACGACCTCTACCACCACAGCTTTTTGAGGCCGAAGCTCTCGTTGTGTTATTGCTGTTGAAATAATGGTGTTGTAGGTCAGTGTTGTGAGGAAGGCTCTCAACAGGGTTTTAATAGAAATTACTGATGCAGTAGAGGGTAATATTACTGTATATAATGAGACCTTCAGGCGCTGTAAATAGCTAGAGATGTGCAGTGTTCTGGGACTGATCTAGATATTACTGTGCTGTTATTGCCGAGGATAATATGATAATAAGTCGTATAATTTGTGTAATGTAATATCGGTAATGTCGGAATTTTTTGGGTACTGTAATTAATGCGAGATGATTTGGCTAATTCTAAGTCAACAAGATTTAGGGTTCATGTCGACTGTCGATTCTGATTCTGATTGTGGTGATGGTGATAGCTGTGATGATGGTAGTGATGGTAGCTGTGATGATAGTAGTGATGGTAGTTGTGATGATAGTAGTGATGGTAGCTGTGATGATGGTAGTGGTGGTAGCTGTGATGGTGGTGGTAGCTGTGATGATGGTAGTGTTGGTAGCTGTGATGATGGTAGTGATGGTAGCTGTGATGATGGTAGTGATGGTAGTTGTGACGATAGTAGTGATGGTAGCTGTGATGATGGTAGTGATGGTAGTTGTGATGATAGTAGTGATGGTAGCTGTGATGATGGTAGTGGTGGTAGCTGTGATGGTGGTGGTAGCTGTGGATGATGGTAGTGTTGGTAGCTGTGATGTGGTAGTGTGGTAGCTGTGGTGGTGGCTGTGTTGGTAGCTGTGATGGTGGTGGTAGCTGTGATGATGGTAGTGGAAGCTGTGATGGTGGTAGTGGCGGCAGTGATGGTAGTGTTGGTAGCTGTGATGGTAATGGTGGTATCTGTGGTGTATGGTGGTAGCTGTGGTGGTGGCTGTGTTGGTAGTGGTGGTAGCTGTGGTGGTGGGGGTGATGGTGGTGACTGCGATGGTACTGGTGGTAGCTGTGATGGTGGTGCTGGCTGCGATGGTGGTGGTGATAATTGTGACAGTGGTGATGGCTATGTTGGTGGTGTGGTGGTAGTGATGGTGGTAGGTGTAGCTGTGATGGTGGTGGTGGTTCTGTTGATGGTGGTGGTGCCTGTTGATGGTGGTGGTGTTGCGTGATGGTGTGGTGGCTCTGTTGATGGTGGTGGTGGCTCTGTTGATGGTGGTGGTGATAGCTGTGATGATGGTGGTGGCTCTGTTGTTGATGATGGTGGTGGTGGTTCTGTTGATGGTGGTGGTGGCTCTGTTGATGGTGGTGGTGATAGCTGTGGTGGTGGTGGTAGCTGTGGTGGTGGCTGGTACACTCCGTCAACGACCCAGGTGTTGCTTCGCAGAATTCATTAGCCGAGTTGTTATCTAAACTCTCACATAATATACACAAAGTGGCTCATTTAAACGCGTGTTTGGGTGCTTTTGTGTGCATCTGTGAGCGTATTTGTGTATGTGTGAGTTCTTACAAGTGTTTATGTACGTCAACACGAACATCTCTTAGTTCTATTGGCCTCTATCTTATAGTATTGACCTCCCATGTTAGTAATGATATTATAGCGTTTCCGTGTGAGGTTCTCTTGCGTTTCTCCCCAAGGGCTTGTAATTTTACCTGGCCACTCACCTGCCTCAAGACACAGCCGGTCCTGACCTACTTCACCGCCACACTGAAGGTCGCCCAACATTTATTCACGTATTTTCATAACTACTTTCTTATTTTATTAAAATTTTTATAACTGAAACTCTAAAGTCATTTCATCAAGCTTTTCGGTGGTGGTAATTGTCTTTGTTTAAATGACTAATTAACAAACTGTGATGACAGCAAAATAGTTTGTCTCCTGCTGTCCCGGACGTAAACCAGTTGAGTATTTAACACTAACGATGAACTTGTTGTTGTGTTTACCTTAACTGTGTACAGTAATGATCTGTGTCACAAACATCAACTGTCAGCAACAGGAAGTGTACACAACACCGCTCACTTGTATAAGATTATTTCACGATGTTAGAAATTATTATTTCTGCTGTGATGTTGTGGAGGTTGTTGTCATGTCTGTGAAGGTTGTTGTCATGTCTGTGAAGGTTGTTATCATGTCTGTGAAGGTTGTTGTCATGTCTGTGAAGGTTGTTATCATGTCTGTGGAGGTTGTTGTCATGTCTGTGAAGGTTGTTATCATGTCTGTGAAGGTTGTTATCATGTCTGTGAAGGTTGTTATCATGTCTGTGAAGGTTGTTTTCATGTCTGTGTAGGTTGTTATCATGTCTGTGTAGGTTGTTATCATGTCTGTGAAGACTGTTATCATGTCTGTGAAGGCTGTTATCATGTCTGTGAAGGCTGTTATCATGTCTGTGAAGGTTGTTATCATGTCTGTGAAGACTGTTATCATGTCTGTGAAGGTTGTTATCATGTCTGTGAAGACTGTTATCATGTCTGTGAAGGCTGTTATCATGTCTGTGAAGACTGTTATCATGTCTGTGAAGGCTGTTATCATGTCTGTGAAGACTGTTATCATGTCTGTGAGGTATTGTCATGTCTGTGAAAGGCTGTTATCATGTGAGGAGCTGTTATCATGTCTGTGAAGGTTGCTATATCATGTCTCTGTGAAGGCTGTTCTGCATGTCTGTGAAGGTTGTTATCATGTCTGTGAAGACTGTTATCATGTCTGTGAAGACTGTTATCATGTCTGTGAAGGCTGTTATCATGTCTGTGAAGACTGTTATCATGTCTGAAGGTTGCTATCATGTCTGTGAAGGCTGTTATCATGTCTGTGAAGGTTTTTATTTCTCTGTGAAGGTTGTTATTATGTCTGTGAAGGTTGCTATCATATCTGTGAAGGCTGTTATCATGTCTGTGAAGACTGTTATCATGTCTGTGAAAGTTGTTACCATGTGTGTGAAGGCTGTTATCATGTCTGTGAAGGCTGTTATCATGTCTGTGAAGGTTGTTATCATGTCTGTGAAAGTTGGTATCATGTCTGTGAAGGTTTTTATTTCTCTGTGAAGGTTGTTATCATGTGTGTGAAGGTTGTTATCATGTCTGTGAAGGTTATCATATCTATGAAGGTTTTTATCATGTCTGTGAAGGTTGTTATCATGTCTGTGAAGATTGTTATCATGTTGCCGTTGTAAAGGTATTATTAAAAGAGTAAGAAAGGAGGAATGTTGTATCTTAAAAGGCCTAGGATAAAATATGTAAGTTCAAGGCAGTCTCTCTCTCTCTCTCTCTCTCTCTCTCTCTCTCTCTCTCTCTCTCTCTCTCTCTCTCTCTCTCTCTCTCTCTCTCAAAATGGTCCAACCTTTGTCACACACAATGTAATATAACAAAGATGGACCGCCTCGTGCTCTGCATTTAAACAACACTATATTCAGGCGATCGTCTCGAAATATTTTACCTGAAGGCTTACCGAATAGAATACGATAATGTAAGTGTGTAAAACATACCCTCGGTGTTTGTCATGCATAATGTATACTGATATTGAATAAGTTGAATAAAGGAAATATAATAATGGAGACGAATTGTTTTAAAGTGAGACTCAAGTGTTTTGGCCATCAGCATTGTGACGTAACTATGTATACCGTGACCACCAGTGCGTACATCAGATTTTTTCCCCAGTTTTGGAGGTTCAATTCAGGGGATAGTCGTGAATACCTCGCCCCATCCTGTGTAGGAATATATTTTATCTAGAACTTCAGTAGGGACTTTAATGCTTTAAAATTTAGTGTCTTAGATTACAGTACCCATAAAGTATCTATAAATGTATTCCTTATTGCTGTGTTCCTTATTGCTGTGTTCCTTATTGCTGTGTTCCTTATTGCTGTGTTCCTTATTGCTGTGTTCCTTATTGCTGTGTTCCTTATTGCTGTGTTCCTTATCATTGTGAGGCTTTTAGTCTGCCGGATACCAACACATTATAATGACCTAGTAGGATGAGGCGTAGTGTCTCCCACCGATGACTTAACACAACGTGCCTGGTTTAATTCCCGGGGTAAAGTTAAAAGTATTAAAACGACACAAGTATTCCAGGGACGACTTTTAATAATTTAGCATTTAAATTTGATGACAATACTAGAAATAGTCACTAAATAGGGCAGACAGACACACACACAGGTATTGAATGGTCGCCCCTAACAA